CATGGTGAGATTCTGTCTCAAAAAGATGAAAAAAAAAAAAAAAAAAGATGTGATCTTTTTATACAACTCAGCCATGAAGAAACAAATTGGAGACTTTTATAGGTAAATGGATGCAACACCAAACCATACTCATAAGTGACACAAATCAGACTCACATGTGTAAACACTATATTGTCTCCTTAGTGTGAGAAGCTGAAAGAGTAAATGAGATCCAAAATGTACAACAGATACTGTGAAATGGGAATAAACTCTAGGATGAGGGAAAGAAGAAAAGAAGGAAGGGAAAGTAAACACACACACACACACACACACACACACAAGACAGTTAAGAAGTTATAATACTAACTTCTCTTAATCCACTGAAAAGAAAGGTTTGTCCTAATATTGTTTGGACAATTAAATGTCTATATCTTGTACTCTGAGTAATTTATTTATTTATTTTTTTTTTGTTTTTGTTTTTGGTTTTTCTCCGGTACCGGGAACCAAACTCACGACCTTGCGCTTGCCAGGCAGGCGCTTTGCCGCTGAGCTAAATCCCCAGCCCCTACTCTGAGTAATTTAAAGACAACAATACACACTGTATTAATCACTGTTATTCTATTATCTTGTTCTGAAATTGTTTTTTAAAAGAAAAAAAGAAAAAAAATGGTGCTGCTGAGTTTTAAGAAATTTAAACATTCAGTGCTCACATGATATAGCAAACTTATCCAAAATGATGTATCAACCGCATTTTCACCAGCCGTGTCTAAGAATTACCTCTAATTCACATCCTTTCAAGCCCTACTTTACCTTTACTTAATTTCTGTCAATGTACTATGTTGCTTCAGTTCCCCGTCTCTAATAACATTTAGCACACTTATCTTCATGTACTCTTCTATCTACTTTATATTCAACTTCTCAAGTTGGAGAATAAATCCAGTTGGAATCATCTTTAAGTATGCAAAAAACAACAGGTGAATTAAAAAGTACTGTCCCCTTTTTAGCCTGAGTCTCCTCTTCCCTCTAAGGGTATGACATTTCTCTTTTGATTTAGATCAAGATCTTCTTATAATTATTAATCTATTCAAAATGTTTACTTATTCCTGAGTCACTTATACTAACTCCTATTTTTCTAATTGTACAATGTAGAAAAAGGACACTAACATATATAACAGTGTTTTATGTTTACATATAAATTAACAATAAAAAAATCATTTTCCTTTCAGAAAAGAGCATGGGTAGTTGAATCCCTGTCTTCAAATGCATTTGTTATTTCTTTTTTTTTTTTTTTTTGTATTGGGAATCAAACTCAGGACCCTGTGCTTGCCAGGCAAGTGCTTGTGCCACTGAGCTGTATCTCCAGCCCTTCAAATCCATTTGTCATCACAGCTGAATACCAACTTGACTAACAGAAAAGTCTATATTCAAAGTCTACATCTCTCAGAATTGTGTCAATGTTTTTTCCATCTCATAATGAAGATGAATATTCATTCATAAAATAATTTGTAGATGGCTACTGTGGAGAGCACTCTTCAAGGCACACGAGACAACAATGAAATAGACAAAAAAAAATCCCTGTCCTCGTGGGGTGACAGTCTAGCATAAGGGAGAAGTTATGCACAAAAACAAATATATATAGTACATCAGATGCTGGTAAGTGCAAAATAAACTGGAGAAAGTCTGGGAGAGCTATGTGGATGATACAGGTGGTCTAGGTCTTACAGTACTTTATGGGGACTGGGTAGAGGGGTCTGGAGGAGTAACACTCTGAAGTGCTAGGCTCTGCTCTCTTTTCTTGGCTTCATCTTCACTGCCCAGTTAGCGGTCTTTTTTTGGTTTTGTTTAAAACAGGGACTTGTTTTTTTTTAAAAAAAAACAACAACAAAAAAAAAAAACGACAGGGACTTGTTACAAGTCCATACTGGCATCAAACTCACAATCTTCCTATCTCAGTCTCCCAAGCGCTGGGATTACAGGCATGTACCATTATGCACGCCATTAACACTCTTGGTACCTTCCATATTTGTAGCAGGGATTATAGTTAAGAAGGGGAGAAAGAGGTGTTAGTTGTTGGAGGGAGAGAAGTGCTAATGGTAGGTATGTGAATCCAGAGGCAGAATGATTTCAAACCCTGGTTGTGTTACTAATTTTGTTATTTTTGGCAAATTATTAATCTGTGTTCCTTGGTTTCTTCACCTGTGCAAGTGATGAGTAACTTCTTAGAGTTGACATGAAGGTTAGGTATTTAATGTAGTGTCCAGTTCAATGCCTGGCATATGTTAACTATATTTTACTTACATGTGTACTTATTGGACTTTAAATACTATAAAACACAGTACCAATCGATCTTTTCAGACTCCTGCTTTTTCAACAATTGCTTGTGATTTCACTGCAATCACTTTTTAAAGATTTTTCAGAAATACATCAGAAGCGGGGTCAACATGTATCAAGATTTATTCATGCTAAGAAAGTCTCCATACATCTCAATTCTTTTACCTCAGTGAGCCAACATTATCTCAGTTTCATTTCTCCAATTAAAATTTTAGTTTGGCTAAAAAATACAAAAACAAAACCAATACAAGTCATCTAGCACAGTGTCTCATACCTGTCATCCCAGCTACTCTTTATGCTGAGGGAGAAAGATTTCAAGTTTGAGACCAACCTTGGCAATTTAGCAAGACTGCATCTCAAAATAAATAACAAAATGGGCATGAGATATATAGCTCAGTAGTTCCTGGGTTTGAGGCCCAGGACCCCTCCCTACACACATACATACAAGTCATCACCAGAAAGTCCAACTTTAAAATTATGTTAGTAAAAGAAAAAAAAAGCTGGGAACTTGGGAGGCTGAGGCAAGAGGATCGTTGCAAGTTTGAGACCAGACTGAGCTACAAAGTGAGCTCAAGACCAGCCTGAACTGCATAGCAAGATCCTGTCTCAAAAAGACCAAAAGAAAGAAAGAAAGAAAAAGAATCAAGATATATTATGTACAGGTACAAATTTCCTATGATGGATGTTATCACTATATATATCTAAAATGTATTAGCTAGGTGCAGTGATATACAGTATGTCTGTAATCCCAGCACTTGAGAGGCTAAGGCAGGAGGAGCACCTGAGTTTTGGGCTAGCCTGGGCTACATAGTGAGCTCAAGGCCAGCACGAACTACATTTTGAGACGCTATCTCAAAAAAATCCCCAAATGAATAAATAAACCAATAAAAAATTATCTTAGTAACTAAAGTTACACTGAGGAGGGTGAAAATTATAAGTAACATATAAGGTTTAGTAGCTGTTGATAGGTATCTTATTCTACACATCATCTAATCCTCAGTATTCACCATTCCACTTTATGGAAGAGGTTGCTGAAATTCAGAGTTTCTCAGATCAGGTAACTAGTTAAGGGTCAGTCTCCAACCAAGCCAACACATTAAAGCTGTGAAATCATTCTCATGCGTTTACTCTGGATTGATTAAAAAGATCTGAGGAAATCTCAAGACCAAGTATATTACCATTTGGTCTGACATTGCTAACTGTGTGCACTTCTGCTTTCAGATTCAAACACCTGATATTTACTGTTTTCCAGTTAGTATGAAAAGTATAGACACAATCCTTGCCCTCTAAGAGGTTGTCAGAAGACAACTAATAAATTACAGTCAGAATGTGCTATCAAACAGGAGGACAACTGATAAATTACAATCAGCATGTATTACCATACAGCAAAGCACTGAGTTGAAACCGTAAGCATCTAAATGTTATCTAAATGTTCTCAACTACGTGTTTTGATTATTGTGATTGTGTGTTTTTTTGTTTTTGTTTTTTTGGTCTTTTTGACACAGGGTCTCGCTATGGAGTTCAGACCGGGCTTGAGCTCACTTTGTAACCAAGGCTGATCTCGAACTCGAAACGATCCTCCAGCCTCAGCCTCCCAAGTGCTGGGATTATAAGTGTGCGCCACCATGCCCGGCTCATTCAGTGTTGAAGGCTGATGATTTTTATTTGCTTAGTAAAATTTAGGCATCATAAGAAAGTTATTAAAACAATGTTTAAACTGAACTGAGGTTCAAATAGGCGGTTTGAGTAAAAACTCAGTGTCTAAATAACTGGCAGTACAGATCTGGAAAGGAGTGTTAGTCTACAGAGAACAAAGGCTACTACTCCTAACCTATTTCACTCCTGAAGCAAAAACTAAAACAAGAAAAAGACCGAGCCTTTCAGGTACAAGCATCGTGCGCCTTCGCCCATTTTTTGCTCATCTCACTGGGGAACGTCATGCAAACTACCCTGGAGTATTTTAACTCCCTCTATCCTCTTATTTCACTCTCTCTAGTGTTATTTTCCCCTCCTGAGTTGTAAAATAAAGGGGAACAACCTTCCGACTCCAGCAATTCTCGGTTGATCGGCTAAAGCGGAAATTGGCTTCGGAAAACCTCAAGCTCTGATTCCCACAAGTCGCTCCTGCCTGTGAGAATCAACTTAAGCTCCAGTTGCCGCTAAGCCCGGCCGGGCCCCGGAGACCGCGGCGCGCTGGACAGGGCATTCCAACCTCAAGGAACCTCACCTCGGCCCTCCCTCCCACGGTCGCTCCGGCTCGGGCTGTCTTCACCTCCTACACCCTCACTGAGTCGCTCATGCCACCCGCAATCAAAAAAGGCTTTCCCTTCGGAGAAAGCCGGAAGATAAAGGTTCATTTCTGGAAGGATCTGAGAGCACTCAGCGCACCCGGCAGCTGCAGGGAGAGGGCGGGGGCAGGGTCGGGAAGGGGCGGGAGCCCGGCACTATCCATCAAGCGCCCCGCGCTAGGAGATCGCCAAGTCGTGTCCGGGCCTCCACGGCGGCCCAGAAATCCTCCTTCGCATCCTGGGCCGGGGTGGGAATGTGGGATTCAGGACCCCGAGGGTGAGGCTGAGGAGGGGGTTTGATGCCCAGGTCTCCAAGGTGCAAAGGCTCTGAGAGGCACGTAGCCGCGGCCACCTACCGCCGGGGCGGCCGGGCGGCCCGGGGGGACCTAGAGGCCCGCTTACCTGCCGTCAGCAGCTGCATGGCGTGAGTGAAGGACGGGTCGAGGGAGTCCTTCTCGGCCATGAGTTCTGGCAGGTACTTGTTCTCCGGTTCCATCTTGACGGAGGCTGTGGCTGAAGGGGGCAGCAGCGGGGTCGGCGCTGGACCGCCCACTGTCGCGTCGGGACCTGTGGCCGACGGGGGCAGCAACGGTGGCGGCTGCGTGGCCGGCGAGGCCCGGGCGCCCCCTCGGGGCCCCCCTCCGCCTCCTCGGGACCGATGCGGCAGCGGCGGCGGCCGAGAGGGCGTCTGACGCACCGAGGGGTGGGCACCTGAGGGGTCCATGGAGCCGCTGCGGCCTGAGGACCGGGTCATGCGCGCGGCAGGGTCGTCCCGGCGCTGCATCAGTGACGATGGGCGAGCAAGCGAGAGAGGAAGCGACGCGGCAGCGGCGGAGGCCCTAGCGGCGGTTGGCAGGGGTAGGAGAGCGGGAGCGACAGCTACCGAAGCCGACCCGAGCGACCCAGCGAGCGAGCACCGGAAATGAAGCGATGCGCGTGCGCAGCCGCTCACCGGCACCGCCCTTGGGTTTCTCCGCGGAGAACAAAGTCCCCAGTTGGGCCACGGCGCCTGCGCACCGCCGCGGCGCAAGAAGACGCTATCGTGTCGCTTCTCTTTTCCCTCCGAGTCCGGAGGACGAGAGCTTAGTGCGCGTGCGCAGACGGCCGCGGGCTCAGTTCGTTTTCTTTTCCACGTGACTCGGCGCTAGCGGGACACGTGTCTCCTCCCCCTTCTGGCCAAGTGCGCGGAGGGGGCGGGGGCTGTGGAATGTCTTTGTCTCCGCGCGGGCCCGTGGGGTATGGGGCGGGAGACCTGTTACTGGTGGGCCACGCCCCCTCCAACGGCTGAACTGCGAGGAATGGGGGGTGTCGCGGAGCGGGAGTTGGGGCGGAGTGGAGAGATCGACACCCAAGCGAGGACCGGGGACAGGCGCGGCTTGGGGGACGCGAAAAGGGAAGGAGGGAGAATTCAGGGAGAATTGAGGCCGTCTGAGGCAGGAGGAGAGGAGGCAGAGACAGGGATCCGAGCTAGAAGAGGGGAAGTCTGACGCGGGGATGACTGGTGGGGGCGGTGAAGGGAAGCCTGAAGGGAGAAAGTGAGGAACCGTGGCTTAGAGGGAAGCCGGAAGGCGGTTTATTGAAAGTCTGGAGAAGAAGTCCCGACCCCAGCAGGGACTCTAGTATCCTAAATATTTTTAGTAGAATAGATTCTAAGACGTTTGTCATTGTTCGTGAGAGACGTCTTTCTTTTAATTAAAAAAAAGCATTTTTGTTTGTTAACGTAGTCTGGTTTTTGCTGATTTAAATGTATCTTCTGCAAAAAGCTGGATTTGAGGCCCGGTCCTGCTGCCGGTGTGAGTGCTAGTCCTGCGTCTGTTGGGCCCTCAGGCTTGGATGTCGGAGAAAAGCACTGCTCTGAAAGCCAAGGTACACAGTCTCCCCAGGGATTCGCACTTGGGGTGCTATATGCAAGTGGAGTCTACCGGCGTCTCTAGCCTCCTCCAGCCATTAGACCCCCTCGTTCCTTCTCTAACTCCCCACCGGATTTTTGTTTCCCCCGAAGTACTCACTTGCATTCCTTTTCTTTTTCAATCTGATTAGCTTAACTTTCCAAAAACGCTTCTGGAAATTATCTTCTGGATGTCTAGCAATTTATAGTCCCCCTTTAGGGAACATAAAGTCCTGGCTAGTACCTTTTTGGAGGTAGGGAAGAGAAATTACCTAATTACCCACAAAAATAAGAACAAAACACAGTATGTGTATATTTATATGTAACACAAGTAGTAATACATTACTTTACATACAAATATATACATATAAAGTCTCCAGGGTGGTGCAGTGGTTCACTTTGAGGACATAAGTACTTTTGTCCTTACGTAGTCAAGTAGGAAAAAAATTTTATTGTTATTTCTGTGGCAACATTTTAACATAGATGAAATCAAACAATCATATTGCCAGGAATTTTATATAAAATTTGGTCTAATCAATAATAAAAGTAGTGTTTGACAATGCTTTCCATATAATTTACATCAAGGCCAATTAGCGTATTACCTACCTTTTACGAGGTAAGAGACACATCTGCTGTTTTCTAAGGGCCCGACTAGAAAATTCCAAAATTAATTTGAGATAAAAAATTAATTGCCTGTAATCCCAGTACTCGGGAGGACTGCCTCGAGTTCAAAGCCAGGTTAGACTACATAGTGAATTCAAGGCCAGCCTGAACTGCAATACAACACCCTGTCTTAAGAAATAAAAATAAATAAATAAAATAAAAAGACAATTTAGAATTTGGTTTTGGAGCTGGGCACTGTGACACACACCTGCTAGTCCAGATGCTCAGGAGACTGAAGCAGGAGGATTGCAAGGCTAAGCTGGGTAACCTGCTGAGGCACTATCTCAAAATAAAAAGGGGAGGAGATGTAGCTCAGTGGTGGAGTGCCTGCTTGCCTAGCACATGTGGTTCAATTCCCCGTTTGGAGGGCAGGATCTGAGAAGAGATACTCTTAGGGTAAATGATTTTAGGAAAGGATGAGTGGACTCTTAGAAAAGTAAGTGATGGTTTGTTGGTTTGTGAGAGGGTCTATGTGGGTGTGAAGTCTCCTTTCCTGGGGTAAAAGTTGATCTTCTCTGGTTGTTGGAACTCGCTGGAGAGAGGATTGAGGAGTTCTTGCTAAAGGATCTGTCTTTGGATAGATAAGGGGAATTCAGACGTCTCCTGAACTGCTTGAATGGCTGGCTAGCTTTGTGTAATAACAGTGTAATAACAAGCATAACAGTTAAGGATGAGTAAATTAAGTGGATGTAAACGAGATAAAAGTTTATAAATGAACTTGTCACAATTTCAGATGTCTTTGTAAGTAATTCAGAATCTTAAGGCCATGTCATACTAAGTAAGAGATATTTGTTTCTAAGTTAGAACTCCAAAATATTAATTGCTAAATACACATTTAAAGTGTATGGACTGTGGTATCATTTTTATGTTATAGAGAAGCTAAATATATTTGAATATGTTAATCAACATGCAAAACTGTCTTGGGAAATAAGTTTCCAAAAATTATGAAGTGGCGCTTGTCTATAAAATGCTGATATGAAATAGTTCAGAATTGCTTCCTAGGTTTTCACTAGGTTACTAAGAAGTAAAACTTGGAATTAATACATACAATTAAAACCAGAATTATCAACATCTGCCTATGTAAGGAAAGTAAGATGTTTTTGTTAAATGAAGCTAAAGAAAAGGAGGGTAATGTTTGTTTTAAAGTAGAATGACTAGTTGTTCCAAAATGAGAAAGAAGAAAAGTATTGGATAAAACTGAGTGAGTAATGAACTTGTACAAGGTTTGTGGAAGATGAGTCTTCTGGGAAAAATTTTTCCCTCAAAATATGATCTCAAACTTATGAACCTCCTACTTCAGTCTCCCAAGTAGCCAGAATTATAGGCAGGCACCACCACAACGGGCTTTTCTTCTCACATAGTTCTGTCTACCCCAATAGGGGACAGAGTCATGGAACCCTTCTTAGAATATATTTGACTGTCCTGCATGATTATTGCTCTAAGCCATTTTTATGTTAGGTATCAGGCCCCTCAGAGCCAAAGTAAAAGCCTAAGAGGGAAACACCACAGAGGTGGGTCAGGTAATACACTATACCCCAATGCATGAATGTTTCCTGAAGCTGATGGGCAACTTAGTGTCATCTCATGACCAGCTTACCCATTCATAGGGGTGTGTGTGTTACTTGGGATGGAACTCAGGGGTGCTCTACCACTGAGCTTCATCCCCAAACTTCTTTTTAACTTTGAAACTAGGCCTCTCTAAATTGCCCAGGCTGGCCTTCAACTTGGCAATCCTCCTGCCTCAACCACCTAAATAGTTCTGATGACAGATACATACCACGTCATTGGGCCATGAGAGTGTATTTCTTTCTTTAGGTAGTGAGCACTTTAACAGATCTTAAGTGCTGACCCATGCTCGCCAGTCAAGTTGTGGCTTTGGCTCTGAGGTACCCTTGACCAATTTAGCCAGTGATTTTCTCTTAAGAAAATGAAAGAGGATAGAACACAAAATTCCTGTGGATTTGCAAAGCCAGAGTTCACATTCTCTGCAGTAATTACCATTTATTGCCAGTTTCTATTTGACTCAGACACCTAAGGATTCTCTTTATAAGATTCAGTCCTGTTTCTAGCTCAGTTTCCACCCCACCCGACTCCCTTGTCCAAGGGATTGAACTCAGGACCTTGGCACTGAGCTACATCTCCAGGTTTTTCTTATTTTTTGTTTTGCAATAGGGTCTCCCTAAGTTGTTCTGGCTGAGCTCACACTTGCTATCCTTCTGCCTCAGTTTTCCCAGAGTGCTGGGATTATAGGCATTACCACCACACTTGACTTGTCTGCCACTGCAAACCCCAGAAGGTCATATGTACCCTGCTCACACAGCACAAAGTAAACTTGGATTTGAAAGTCAAAAAGATTGAGAGGCAAAAAGAACAATCTTCTTACCCAAAAAGAACTTAACTTACAGCCCTTGGGGCTCCATAAGAAAGACAAGATTTCAAAAAGAGTCAGTGGTGTCTGTCCTGTGCTCCTGAAGGAGTTTCAGGAGTCCTCAGTGAGTATGCTTTGGATTCCTTTGTTGGTTGTCAGGACTATGAAAAGAGAAATTAAAGATTTATTTTTGGAGAAGAAGGACTTAGATCTTTGATTTATTAAATTTCATTGTTCTTTTTCTTGTTTGGGTTTTTTGAGACAGGGTCTTCCTGTGTAGTTCAGACTGGCTTTGAACTCACTTTGTATCCCTGCCTGGCCCCCAAACTTGCAGCAGTCTGCTCAGCCTCCTGAGTGCCAGTATTACAGGCATGTGCCACCACACCTGTCTAGTTTCATTGTTCCTTTTTTTTTTTTTTTTTTTGGTTTTTCTCCGGTACCAGGAACCGAACTCGTGACCTTGCGCCTGACCAGGCAGGCGCTTTTGCCGCTGAGCTAAATCCCCAGCCCCTAGTTTCATTGTTCTTTTCCATACATTTTTCTTGGAAACACTTAAACATTTGTTTATACAATATAAAGTGATTTAATTATCTATGTCCATATATCTGTACCTATAGCTTAATAAGACTGACATTCAATGGAGAATAATGAATTTACCTTTAGTAGCCAGAAGAACTTTAAGCCATTTGTTATTATTTTATTTTAAGCTTCTCTTATTAAACCTTGTGATTTTAATTAATGTAAAATGTGTGCCTTAGATGTCCTTCTTTGCACCACAGGACAGCAGATATAGTCGCCTTATCAATTAACTTTCAATACTCTGTACGTGGCATTTGGTGCTGCAGAGTGAGGGGCTTCCTGCATTGGAAGAGTTTTCCCAGATTGCCAGTGTACTGCGGCCAGGCTTAGTTCTCCCAACATACCGTGCTTCTTAAGTCTGCATCCTCATAGTGCTGGTAGTTCACAATGTGGTGCAGCATGGACAGCTTGATGTTTGCCATTGTCAGTGTGGTGCCCACAGAAACAGCATCTGGTCTGGTTTTGCGTTTGTAATGCAGAAGTTTTTCCTGGGCCAAATTAATAAATTCTCCTATTGTGCTGCATTAGTTATGGAGGTTTGGCTAACCTTGTAGTGACGTCACTGTTAGA